CCCTGACCTCGGTTGTGACCTGTCTCAGCATCAAGCTGAGACTCTCAAAGCACCCTGGTTCAGGCAGGAAGCTGTGATCACCCTTCTCCTGGATGCTAAGGACAGACACAGTGGATACAAGCTTGAGGGGGGCTCTGTGATGGCGGGATCCTCCCTGGGACTGCCCCATGTCCCCACAGGGTGAACGTGGGCTGCGGGCCAGCCGAGGAGCGGGTGCTGCTGACAGGCCTCCATGCTGTCGCTGACATCCACTGCGAGAACTGCAAGACCACTTTGGGCTGGAAATATGTGAGTCAGCGACCTCTGACACCAGGCTAGCCTTTGAGCTGACCTCACATCACCTCCTCCTCATGAGCAGTCCTCTGCTAGCCTTTCAGAGTGCATAGGCCCAGCTCACACGGTCCATCTGTCCGACCTCTTCTCACATCTGCGGGGCTTTTAGAATTCCCCTCTTCATCCATCTTTCCCTCATTGACACTAGCCTCCCATTTCATAGAGGACGATATCATCGGAGTTACCATTTATGCAATGCTGGTGTGCCGTGCACTGCTAAGAGCTTGGCATAAATTATCTCATTTAATCATCACAACACTCATGCAGGTAGAATCATTTCATCTCCACTTTGCAGGCGACAGGGAAGCCCAGAGATGTTAGGTAACTTGTCCAAGATTACACAAATAGTAACAGAATAGGCACCGGAATCCAAATTTGTTTATGTTTTTGTTTTTCTTTCTCCAAACCCTTGGCCACCGACTTAGATTACCATTCAGAGGATCAGAGAAGTTGCCCCAGACACCACAGCAATATGGAGTATGGGCCTCCTTTTCCACTGGCCTCTGCCACTGCTGCTGTCCAGCGTCTGATTTCACTACCTTGAGTCTCATTTCCTTATCTGGCAGTGGAGAACAAAACCACCAGCCACCTCGCACTCAAGATTGTTACAGGGATCAGATTAGATGTAGCAAAGGAGGCTGCAAGTGACAGGATTCCTCAGGCATGACTTGGAGCTGAGGCTTTGGTGAGGTGGATGCCCCAGGTAGAAACTGCCAGCCAGCCCTGTCCTGAGTTCACCATTTTTCCTGCCATGGATTTACTGTGTGTCTTGAGCAGAAGGCTTGGCCTCTCTGGACCTCTAAAGAGGTGGCCTAGTCCAGAGATCAAAAATTAAAGTGCCTCCAAGGCCAAGCAGGTATTGTGGATTTTAAAAAGGGGCAACATAGACTGTGGGGACAGGGATGGAGAGCAGGCTGGAGCAAACCGAAATGAGCCTAACCTACTTGGCTTTTAAAGTTATTGTTATTATACTTTTTATTGTCCAAACAAAACATGTGCAGGCTAAAATGAGAGCCACTGGTTTGTAGCCCCTGGATTACGGAATCTTTTAGACCCTTCCATATCCTCTGTTGAAGCTGTCACTGCTACTTAAAAAGTGCCAGTGATTTAGTGCTCTACCTATCCCCTGCCTGTGAGAAACACAGCCCTGACATTTACCAGCTCTGTGTCTGTGGGCAAGTGGCTGGCTTCCCTGGGCCACAGTTTCCTCATACGTAATCCGGGACCAATCACGTCGCCTCCCCAGCCCTCTGCCTGTGCTAAGGCTCTTGCTGAATGCCTCTCCCCTCCTTTCAGGAACAGGCCTTTGAGAGCAGCCAGAAGTACAAAGAGGGGAAGTACATCATTGAACTCAACCACATGATCAAAGACAACGGCTGGGACTGACCCCTGCTCCTGACCCATGTGGCTCCAGCCCGGCCTGGCCGCCAGGGGGCGCCACTGGCTTCCCTCCGCCCGAAGGGAGCTCTGGACCCTCAGGGCCCCTGCAGAGGAAGGACCCAGCTCCTGTACATATATTTTATTGCATGCACTGTGACCTTGGGGGGAGATCAGAAGGGGGAAGACACCCCCACACCTCCTGCGATCTGGCTGGCTTGGATCTCGTTTTTAACCCCTTCCTTTCCCGCGTGCCCTATAGATATGGCCTGTGTGCTGCTCTTCCAGCCCCAGTGCACCACCTGCCCTGTGAACAACTCCTCCCAACGAGCCCCTCTTACCCCATGCGTGTCTGTTCCCCTCGTTCTGTAGCGTTTGTACATAATAAAACAATGGAGTGGAAACTGCCCCAGGCTCAAGTGGAATCCGGGAAGGGAGAACGCAAATGCAGATTCCTGCCCCTATAGACCTGTACGTTCTGAGCCCCAGAGGGGCGCCGGGTAGGCACGGCCATCCGAGTTGGAACTCTAGGGACCAAAACCGGGCTCACTGCGGGTGGAGATTTTCCAGCCCACTCCGGCTGCCTAGGCCTTGACCTCGGCTGATCTGCGTGGTCTCGGCGTTAGTGATCCGCCGTCGTCTTGGGGCAGCTCCTCCCGCAGGCGGGCGTGCCGCCGGCCTCGCCCGCTCGTCGTGACTACAACTTCCAGCGGCCCTAGCGCGGCCTCCGTGCATCCTCGGCCCTGGGCCTGCTGGGAAGTGTAGTTCCGCGGGTCCCCCAGCGCGGGCCCTTCTGGGAAACCCCGGCACCAGACGTCAGACAGTCGAGCTGTTCTCTAACTTCTGAGACTTGGCTGAGTGGAGGTTTTTCAGAATGAGAGCCAGGGAGGACTCCAGGGTTCGGGTCTCGGCTGGAGACTCCTGGAGGTCCCCAGTGCCCCTTGTAACCAGCTCAGGCCGCGTCCCGCCAGCCCGGCACTTTCCCTCCAGTTTTGCCTCCTCCCCTCCACGGCCGGTTCTCCAAGTGAAGGGAAGAGGGGAGCTCACCTGCCAGAAAGTCTGGGGTGCCAGGGCCTGCCTCAGTACTCCGGGCTCCATCCCAGGGCCTCGGCCCCGCCCCCTGTGGCTTATCCGTAGCCGGGGCTCCCCTGGTGGGAACGGGGACCAGCTGGCCGGAAGCGCCAAACTGCGTCCCTGTCCAAGCCCCGGGGATCAATCAGGCCGAGGAGTTAATTATGTAATGAGGGGGCAGGGGGTCGGAGCTAATGAAGCCGCCCAGAGCGGAGGGAGAGAGGGAGGGGAGGGTACCCAGGTATCCGGCCCCCTCTTGGACCCCTTGAGGCCCCAGGGGTCTCCAACCCAGCCCAACTCCAGGGCCCCAAAGAGGGAGGGGCTGTGATCCTGGGTCTGGAAGGGGCTGAGCTGTGAGCTATAAAGGGGGCATCTCTCAGCACCGGGGCGCTCTAGGCAGCGTGACCTGAGGCCAGACAGGAGTACAACATGTACCATCCTCGGGAGTTGTACCCCTCCCTGGGGACCAGCTACCGCCTGGGGCCCCCCCAGCCAGGGGCAGACTCCAGTTTCCCGCCTGCCCTGACAGAGGGCTACCGCTACCCTGGTGAGCCTTGGGACCAGCTCCTGGGTAGGGGTGTAGGGGAGGGGGCTGTGGCCCTCAGCTGTCTCCTCATTCTTCCATCTCCAGATTTAGATACCCCCAAACTGGATTGCTTCCTCTCCGGGATCGAGGCTGCGCCCCGTACCCTGGCCGCACCCCCACCTCTGCCCCTTCTGCCCCCTGCCCTGGGTCCTGAGCCAGCCCCGCCAGCTCCAGAGGCCCTTCATTCACTCCCAGGAGTCAGCCTGAGCCTGGAGAACCGGGAGCTGTGGAAGGAGTTCAGCTCTGTGGGGACAGAGATGATCATCACCAAGGCCGGCAGGTGAGGGACTAGCCAGGGCCAGCGCTTCCGGTGGGGGACTCTTGGGAAAGGCAGAGATCCTGGAGATGGGGCTAGGTTCGGGGCTTTCTCTGGGCAGGAGGCTGAAACTCTAAGTTCAAAAGCTGACTATGGTCTGGGGCAGGAATCAGGAGGCATTCTGTGACAAGGTCAAGGGTCAGTCCGTGGTGTCTGTGACTGGGTTTGGGGCTAGCCTTTGGCAAGGATCATAGGTCAGTGGGCCAGGGTCAGCAAGGCTGGCTGAGTTATAATTAGTATGTGTGTAGACCAGAGGTCAGACCCCTGGAGTTAGGACCCAGCCAGTGACCAGCCTCAAGGAAATCTGGCCAGGATCCAGGCTCAGTGCGTGACGAGGTCTGAAGTCACCCTATTGGCAGGGATGGGTCAGCACATGGCCTGTGTCAAAGTCTTTACCCCAAAAAATAATAACAATATAAATAAATAAATAAATAAAGGGACCAGCAGTTGGCGTAGTGGCTATGTCGTTGAACGCCCATAAAGTTGACTGTGGTTCGACTCCTGGACTCAGTGGCTTAAACTCACACCGGGTGCATGTGTGTGCGTGTCCAAGACCCTGAGAGGAGAATGGAGGAGAAGGGATTGTGGTGTGGTCATCCTCCCTGGAGGGTGATTTCTCGCTTTCTGACTCTCTGTCTCTCTGTGTCTTTCTGGTGAGCACATGTGCCCCATAGCAAAAACCTCTCCAACCCCCCCCCCAAAAAAAAAAACACAAAGTCTTTACCTAGGGCAGGAGTTTGGGCCCTGTCATGGTGAGTCCTCTGTCTCACTGAAGCCAGAACATATTTGTTCTGAAGCAAATTTGTCTAACAGCTGCAGGTTCTGGTGCTGCAGATCAGGTGAGGAGACCTGGGTGGGGAGCATAGGGTTCCTGAAGGGAAAGGGGGCTGGATAGTGGCACAGAGGTAAAACGCAATGCCCTGCAAGGCCACACACATGGAGGGTGCTGGGTTCGCATCTGGAGACCTCCTTGAGTATGCCAGACACACGTGTACCCACGAGCCAGAGCTGGCTATAGCTGGGGGTGGATCCTAGCATCGAGACCCTGTTGGGGGTCCTGTCTCTCTCTATTTTTTTTTTAAGAATTATTTGGTTTAATTTTATTTATTATTATTTTGAATTTGCTACAGGGCACTTGTGCTCACCAGAGAGAGAGAGAGAAAGTGATAAAGCAAGCTGCCAGGTCTGGGACATGAACTGTGGTCAGCCATGTGGGAGTCCACTGCCTTAACCACCATGCCACCTGCTGGCCCCTCCATCATGCTTTCTAGTGAAAGAAATATGCTTTTACAGAAAAAGATATCAAGGAGAAAAGTCAGTCACCACTGCTTCTGCAAATGGAGTTTGAGGGGCATGGAATTAGCAGTCCAGGCTCGGCTCCTAACCTGCTGTGTGATCTTGGACAGATCACCTAGCTTGTCTGTCCTCTTCCCCGTCTCAGATTCCCCACTCTGGGTTCGAACGCCTCCTCCCTTAATGTTTCCGTGACAGAGCAGGGAGCCTGTTGCTGTGTGCCTTGTTGATGCTGTGGCCACCCCTGCCCAGTGGGTAGATCCAGGCCTCTCCTGTCCTTTGCCCGGTGCAGGCGCATGTTCCCGGCTTGCCGAGTATCAGTCACTGGCCTGGATCCAGAGGCCCGGTACCTGTTTCTTCTGGATGTGGTTCCTGTGGACGGGGCTCGCTACCGCTGGCAGGGCCGGCGCTGGGAGCCCAGCGGGCAGGCAGAGCCCCGCCTGCC